TAAAGGGGGTAGATAAAAAATGTCAGCCTTTCCTACAACCAGCAGTGGTATTAAGGTCGCCATCAACCCCTAAAAGTAGTTGCTGTTCTGCCCATTTTATAGATGGAGAAACTGAGTGTGATCAGTCCTGCAGCTCTCAGGGACAGAGCCTGGATGTGAGCCCGTGGCTTAGAGACGAGACCCCACCGCCTTCTTCCACCCCAGTTCTTGGTAAACCAAGCTCCCCGGGGTGCAGCAGGACCTGTTAGAAGTCCTCAGGGGAGCTGGATCTGGAAAAATGAGTCACGTTGGCCCAACTAACCTTTCAAATGAAAGGAATAAAACAAAACAAAACACCAATGACCTCCCTCCCAGGCACAGTGAGGGCTTGGCACTGCACCTTGAATTGGAGGGTCTGCAGGCGAGGAGCTCCGAGCTGCCCCCAGCCAGGCAGCATTTAGTCTTGAACACCCACTGAGCGCCTCCTGTGTGCCAGGCACTGTTGAAGGCCCACAAGACACAGCTGGGAACGAGACAGAACTGAATGGGCTCCGTGGAGGTGACAGTCTAATGGGCTAGAGGGTCAGCAAATGCATGAAGACAGGTCTTTGAGGTCTGTGAGGAAGCTATGACCAGAGGGACGGGGGTGGGGGGTGGGGGGGACCTGCCTTGGTGTGTGGGGGGAGATGGGGTGGGGGGCACGGGAGGTCTGTTATCTGCCTGGGGAGAACTCTAAGTGAGCATTTTCCAGTGAGGAGGTCGGAGGGAGGAAAGAAGGTGTGTGGCTGGTACACGAAGGCCGAGGTTGGGGGAGGGGCGCATTCAGAAGCTCTTGGTCAGCGGTTCTCAACCTGTGGGTCGGGACCCTTTTGGGGGTCGACCGACCCTTTCACAGGGGTCGCCTAAGACCATCGGAAAACACATATATAATTACATATTGTTTTTGTGATTAATCATTATGCTTTAATTATGTTCAATTTGTAACAATGAAATTGGGGGTCACCACCACATGAGGAACTGTATTAAAGGGTCGCGGCATCAGGAAGGTTGAGAACCACTGCTCTAGGTGCTTCCCCTGGCATCCTTCACCTTCCATGGCTGCCTTGACACTCACTCACTGTGTTTTCATGGGCTCCACCGGACAGTTGAGGAGACGAGGCCTACAGACGTCAGGACGGGCTCAGGTCAGTGTACCCTGAAATTCCCAGCTCCTAACATCCTTGCTGGCTGCCAGCCGGTTTAAGGACAGACACTAAGAGCACCTACTGTGTGCAGTGGGTGGGAGTTCTGGGAGATGAGCCAGTGCCAGGGTCCTTCAATGAACTTACCAGCAAATAGGAGAGACAGGGAGGGAGGTGCCTGTGGGGTTCTGCAGAGGAGCCACACCCTGCCAGGAGCTGGAGAAGACATTGGAGGGGCCGGCCTGGGCCGGGACTGAGGTGTGGGAACCCCCTTTCATGCTGTTTAGCGAATGGGGAGTCAGGGGTCCAGAGATGGAGAGGACTTGCCAGAGCCGCACAGAGGCAGCAGGGCTGGGGCAGGGTCTAAGTCTCCTGTGTTTGACCTTGGCCAGAATTGTCTTCTTGGCCCCAGATGCACAGACCCATCTGGGGCTCCCAGAGTCCCAGCAGCAGCTGTGAACTGACAGCTCATAGGTCAGGAAGGACCTGGCCTGGGCGGGCCTTGCTCAGGTGGCTGCAGGCCCAGGGTGAGCAGAGCCCCGTGGAATAGTCCAGAGACCACATGGGCCTGCCAAGGTCACTGACCCCCAAGTTCCCCCTCTCTCTGGTCCCCTCCAGGATTCAGAGGTAGAGTTCAAGGGCTCCTCAGGCAGGAATGGGTGGGAGGTGGGGAGGCTGAAATGGCTTGGGGCGTCTCTAGTCACAGGTGTTGATGGCAGCAGCTCCAAGCCCCCTGTGGCTGTGGCTGGGAGGGGCAGCAAGGCTCCTCGGGGACCAGCGAACAGGGATTTTCACACCTAGGTGAGCCAGCAGCTAGCTGGGCCTCTGGCCAGTCCTGCCCCCATCAGGCCATTATGGACACAGTCGGGGCAGGGACAGCAGGTGGGGGAGGGGAGCCATCCGGGTCCAGGCCTGGGTCTCTATGGGTGGGGGCTCCCACTAAAGCACTTGATTCTTCCTGCTGTGGAATTGAAGGCTGGGGGGGGGGGCAGTGAATGTCCCCTGAGGCCCTGTGCCTGACACCAGTGCCTGCAGGGAGGTGTGTGTGTGTAGGGGTGCAGGGCTGTGGGTGGGTACACCCCTAGCAATACCCGCACAAGGGCCCAGTTAAGGCGATGCCTCTACCTGGTGGACAAAAATCCATTCCCGAATCACCTTGAGCACAGGGGCCCAGCACAGGGGGCAAAGCCAGGCCTTGCCTCCCTCCAGTCCCAGCCCCCAGCTCTTCCCTCCCACGCCTGCCCTCCTGTCACCGACTGCCTGTCCCACCCTCCATCCCCAGGTGGTCTGCAGGGTCCTAAAGGAACCAGGCTCCTGGGAGCCCCTGAGAGGCAGGGCGCAAGGAGTGGCTGCTGGGAGCTGGGGGTGCGCTGGGAGTTGGGGGTGCCGGGATAGGGCGGCACCCGGGCTGCTCAAATCGTGTCGGAGAAGGGACAGACAGAGACGGGACACACGGAGACGGGA